ATGGCGGACTCTAATCATTCAACCAGACCCTTTATGCTCCAAAAGCAGACTTTATAAAATATTAAAATATAAAAGCATTTCAAACGTACCTTGATTTTACAATGTGTAATGAGAGTGATCTTTTTTCTGTCTGTCTTACACATACACACACGGATAAAATACTACGTACTTTTCTGTGAAGAAGAAAAATGCATATAGGTCCCTGAAATAACTTAAAAATGAAACTAAGGCATTGCTTTTTCTTTGTGGTACAACAGAGTGATTAAAGAACACACGACATAAGCCTATGATGATGGTACCACTAGAAACACTGAAACTAGTTTGACCAATTGGACATGTCAAACTAAGGTGTGTCCTGCAAATAGCATCACAGATGTATTCAGCCTTGTAATCAGTCAGCCTAAGTACTTCAAAAGGAAAACGTAGTCACGGTGCTGATTGATATCAGGGTGTGTACCTCACTGAGCATGACAGCTAAAATTAGCTGCTAAGTAACAAAACTGCTAAGTATAGTGTTGTCTCAGGAGATTACTGACCAGTGTATCAAAGGTAAAGGTTAGAAGACCATGTCCAAGGAGCTTTGTGTCCCTTTGACTACAGGTGGACATATTATAAGTTTAATGAGCATGGAGAATTAGATACAAACTAAAGACTCCAGAAAAGCCTCCAAAGTGATAAGAGGTGAACTCCAAGGTCATGTTACATCAGTGACAAGGCATTTTTATCAAATGTCAACAACAAAACACCACTGCTACTAACAAATCACGAAAGCACGAGAGAACTTACCTAAATGCACTTATCAGAATTTCTTTTCGATCAATAAGATAAAACTGGAGATTTTTTGACAAGTTACAGCAACTCTGTTCACTGGTGTGAAAACGAAGCATACATTACATTTAACACATGAAACTAGAACTAATGTAGGGGAAAAACAATCAAGCCTTTAGAGCAGGGGTCCCCAATCCTGGTCCTCAAAGGCCGATATCCAGCATGTTTTGGTTTTAACTCTGCTTCAACACACCTGATTTCAGTCAGCAGTAAGGCTGGCCATCAAGCATCGACTGGAACCGGTTTCAACTGTTCATTTGTCCCGGAATTGTTCAAAGTTTTTATTTCGATTCGTAGTTTCGATTCCTAGAATGCCGACGGAAGAGGAATCCGCGGCTGATCTACGTGAAAAATAAACGTGATCTGCAAATTGTGATCAACGCTTTTCAGAGCTGATCACACTAGCAGTCTGTGTGCAGCACAATTCCCCCCTTCCCCCACCCTGCACGCAGCGGCCAGATATAAACAAACACATTTGCCGGACTTTTACTCCATAACTTTAACTCCTGCAGCGTAGAGGAAACTTGTTAAAATACGCCAACATGGTGGATTTAATAGAAGCTTTAAAGAACAAACTCTGGACGGTGTGAGGTGAGTTTGTCTCACTGCAGAAATAAAAACACACACAGAGCGTCAGCAGTCAGACACAGCCAGCTACATTTAAGTTTCACTTCCTGTTCTGACTGAATGCTGCTGCAGCATGGAGGTGTAGTTCTCAGTTCAGTTCAGTTCACTTTATTTCAAACATATACATTCACCAACATTTCATAAAATCATTCCACGCAATTGTTTGAAAAGGAGTAGGGAGAAGTGTATACTTATTTAGCCCTACCCCCTCAGGTTTACATCCTCATCATCAAAATTTAAACAACAAAACAGTTACAATGCCTTCAAAAAAAACCACAAAAAATAACAATAATAATAAATAAATAAAATTCTCATGTGCAACTAGAACTATATTTAGATTTTCTAATTTGTAGAAGAGATTAAACATCAGTTTGCATGCCGTCCTGGGTTAATTGCATTTTCTTCATTCTTATACTTATTTAACATTTCTTTTTTGAGTTTTATTTTAAACTGGTTTACATTACTACTGTCCTTTATTTCTTCTGTTAACTCATTCCAGAATTTAACGCCCGCTATTGAAATAGACATCCTTTTCAATGTTGTTCGTACTCTTTGTACTTTTAAATTCCACTTCCCTCTAAAATTATACCTCCCTTCTCTTTCTAAGAACCATTTACTTATTTCAATTGGGAGCATCCCTTTCCTTACCTTATATATTATTTGCACTGTTTTAAACTTGACCAGGTCCTGGAATTTTAAAGCTTGGACATGATCCTGGACATGATCATCCTGAGAGTTTTAGCGGAAAACAGCTGGACGTTTCTGGATATGTTGGAGACATTTAGCCTCTCATCCCAGAGGCTTCTTCCAGACTTTGGTTGTGGTCAGACAAAAAACACACTGGTTGTGCTGCAAGTCTTTTCCTTTTTTCTCCAAAACATGCTTTTGTCTGAATGAAGGTGATGTTATTGTTCATAGAATTAAAATTCATGTCAAAGTTAAGATTATTTCATCAAGCAGGACCTGTGGTTAGCTGGCTCATGTAAAGCATGTCGTGTCTTGAAAGAATTGGAATCGGGAATCGATAGGAACCAGAATCGAAACAAGGAATTGGAATTGGAATTGGAATCGTTCAAAATCAAACGATGCCCCACCCTAATCAGCAGGTGATTAACAGGCTTCTGCAGAGTCTGTTGAGCTGCTGCACAGGTGATTCAACCACTGAATCAAGTGGGTTGGAGCAGAGAAGCCACTAAAACCTGCTGGATAGCAGCCCTCCAGGACCAGGATTGGGCACACCTTCTTAAGTGAAGGACTTCTGAATTATTAAAAGTCTGTTTTACTTTATTGACCCCAAAGTGAGGAAATTCACTTAACATAACAGTATGCACAAAAGAATAGAGAGCACGTTAATGATACTAAAGGGTAAAGTAACAGACATAAAATACAACTTGAGAAATGAAAATATATATAAATGCAAAAATGAATTTATAAAGCAGCAGAGAGCCTCAATACAGGTTAATGTGATGAAATACGAAACTTAACCGTGAGAATATGGGTGTTTCTCAATGTCAAGGCGCCTGGCCTTGCAAGGCGATGTCTTGCGAGGCCAGGCGCCTTGCTTCCGAGGACACTGTCCTTCCTTGGTCAAAGAAAACAGTTAAATGGAACAGGCTTGCATCACGTGATTGCGCCTTCCGTGGCAGTCATGTAACGTCACGTGACACAGGAGAAAACGTTATATTTCATACGTATAAGTTTCAACATAAATATATAACGAGCTTTTACTTTTTAAATTGTGTAAATATTTGTTAAATTAAATATATAAGCGAGTTACTACCCGCTAGCCACTGAAACTGCAACTAATAAGCAACTAACCAATCATAGATAACTTCTTTGGATCTAAGAAAACATTTTAAATTTGTTGACTTACTTTTAAACTTGACATTTGCCCCCGAAGTAGCTGCTGGCTTCTGATCCGCCATCCTTTTGAAAATATTGCGGTGTATTCTGGGAAATTTTTGACCAAGGCTAGGCTACAAGACACCTCCCGTGCATTCTTGCTAGGCTAGCTAAACGGCTAATAAACAGAGAACACACGCCTCGGTAGAACATGAACACTGCAACACGTCTTGGCGGTTCCAAATGACATATCTCCTAGGCAACCGGGGCCAGGCCAAGACATCAAGGCGAGGTTCCTTGGCATTGAGAAACACCCTAGGTTTCTTCATTCAAACTGTTGTAAAATAAAGCAATTCTTACAATTAAAAAAGGAATTAACAGGCAAATTTGCTGTTAAAATGTGTTTAGAGAACTTTAATGCAGAGAGCACAAGCAGATGGAGGGTGAAGAAGACATGAACTTTAAAAAACAGTGCAAAGAGACACTGCTGTGTAGAAACTTGTGAAAATACAAAGCAAAAATAAAAACTGATCCAAAGCAAACCCGGGCTGGAACTAGAACTTAGGGAACAATGTAACAAAGTTTCAAAAGCTAAAGAATCTAAAGAATGTCATCTGAAGCTAATAAAAAATGTGAGCAGAAAAATGAAACCCCCATAAATAAAGGAATATGTTTTACTAAATCAACTTGTACAGGGTGTGGAAGGCAAGAAAAACTCACCATAAAAATAAAAACTTTATAGAATCCAGGTAACCAAAACAAGACATGTTTAACAGAAAAGAACATAAGATCAGGGCAAATAATCTAAACTTTGATCAAATGTGATAACGTGACAAAATATAAAACTCTAAGACCATCAAACATCAATAGTTACACCTGTCTAGCCTCAAGATGAACAAGAGCTGCTGTTACTTTGTTTATATATTTTTTCCATAAAGGCAGTGACATGGACGACTGTTATCCTGAAGTGTTAAGGTGCATTTCCCCTTTAGCTCCTCATTGAAGCTCTTTTAGACGAGCTCCTCTCTGAGTCTAAGTGACCCTCACACAGCTGACAACATAGCGGGGGCCTCTCTTACCCCAGCCGCGGTGTAGATTGGGGTCACGTGCTGCGGTCCAAATGTCCCTGTGGCCAGCGAGGACAGTCCAACCGTCACCCTCAATTACAGAGCTGAATATCTGCAGCAGGACAATTGATGCTCTGCAGAGGGGCCTGCAGAGTATTCAGACTAAAGGCTGTTATATGTACACAAGTTAGAACTGGTTTTGTGCTAAACTGGTTGTATTTATGCAAACGGAGTCCTCCTGGTTCAAGATTGTTTTGTTAATCGTAAAAGTTGCTTTTATTTTTACATAAAAACAGTTGACTGACTTGTGGTGGTTGTGATGAGATGTAGTGAATTTACTGTACGTGCTTGTTTGTGTCAAGAGTTGGTTCATAAGTTTACTGAGTCAAGCTGCAGTAGTTGTAGTTGACTTTAGGGAAAAATATTAACTTAAGTAATTGTGTGTGTGTGTGTGCGTGCGTGCGTGCGTGTGTGCATGCATGTATGCGTGTATGTGTGTGTGTGTGTGTGTGTGTGTGTGTGTGTGTGCGTGCGTGCGTGTGTGCATGCATGTATGTGTGTATGTGTGTGTGTGTGTGTGTGTGTGTGTGTGTGTGTGTGTGTGTGTGTGTGTGTGTGTGTGTGTGTCACACACAGGTCGGGACATGGCCAACACAACCTTACCCGGATACCCCCCTCACGTCCCTCCCACAGGCCAGGGCAGCTACCCAACCTCTACGCTCGCTGGAATGGTTCCTGGTGAGTCTGGAAAAACAAAAAGCTCTTTTTTGCTTCGTGTTGTGATTATTATTTCATATCAGCCTCAAACCCAACGTGGAGCAAAGCTGGAAAGCAGAGTGAGGAGACTTTAATAGGAAATCATGCAAAGAGGTAATCAATATTGACCTGCAGATTATGAAGGGCACACTTCCTTGTATTAGCCTTCTTGTGTGTTTATTATTGAATTAGAGCTGCATCAGAGGAGGACAGGACAGTCTATGTCCCTGCATGAAATGTGAGACCTTTTTAGATGCTGTCCTCATGGCGATGGTAGTGAATGCACAAAGGTTTCTACAATTTCAGCCTCACATCCAAACAGAACGTTAGGAGTCCTGGAATGGTGTTTGAGTCAAACAAGCCCCGCGCTTCTTATTTAGTATAGAAAGTCATAAACTATGACTCAAAGTGTGTTTAGCTGCATACAAACCTCCATGCAGTGTATTAAAGAGCAGATGAGGCTATAGTATATGATTGACTCACTATTGAGGAGAACTACATGAGGAACCTGTAACAAGAGTAAGGCATAGAACCAGTAGCCTGGCCTGCCAGACTTGTCTGTTTAATTTTGCACAGAGAAAGAGTCTGGTAACTCACTGACAGAGAGGTACTTGAGGGGCGGGACTAGCCAGCTCAAAAGTAACCAATAAGGAAAAAGACAGAAATGCCGACTGTACCGCTTGATGCTGTAGTTTTTTAGCTGTAGTCAAAAATGGCATCTGGCGACAGCGCAAATATCATTTATTTTAGAAGAAAGGCTTTTTGTGCTTCTACTTGTTGTGGTTTTAAAGAAATTCAAATCATTTAGACCAGAGGAAAGAGCCGCAGTGAACTCCGCCACTGTCTTCATTGTTTATGAGAAACTGAGCGTTGCTGTGTGTGATGTCCGCGACAATGTAGTTTTTTAGCTGTAGTCCAAAATGGCATCTGGCGACGGCACAAGCATCTTTCTTTAGAAGAAAGGCTTTTAGCTCTGCATGTTTTGGACACCCGAGTGAAGAGAGGAGCAGAGCTGTCAACTGATCACCACCTGGTGGTGAGTTGGATCAGATGGCAGGGAAAGATGCCGCGTAGACCTGGCAGACCCAAACGCATAGTGAGGGTCTGCTGGGAACGCCGGGCAGAAGAACCTGTTAAGACGGTCTTCAACTCCCACCTCCGGCAGAGCTTTGACCGCGTCCCGAGAGCAGTGGGGGACATTGACTCTGAGTGGGCCTTGTTCCACTCTGCGACCTGTTGAGGTGGCTGTTGCCAGCTGGTGGTCGCAAGGTGGCCAGTGCCAGTCGTGGTGGCAACCCCAGTACCCGCTGGTGGACACCAGAGGTTCAGGGAGCCGTCAAGCTGAAGAAGGAGGCCTACAGGGCATGGCTGGTCTGTGGGTCTCCGGAGGCAGCAGACATGTACTGGATAGCCAAGCAGGGTGCAGCAGTGGCAGTTGCCGAGGCAAAATCTCAGGCGTGGGAGGAGTTTGGTGAGGCCAAGGAGAAAGACTATTGATTGGCTCCAAAGAGGTTCTGGCAAACTGTCCCTGTCCCTAGTTGGGATGCTGCCCCCGCGACCCGGACCCGGATAATCAGAGAAAGACGACGACGGCTGCTTTTAGCGCTTCTATTTGTTGTGGTTTTAAAGACGTGTCCAAGTCATTTAGAACAGAGGAAAGAGCCACAGCGAACTCTGCTTCAATCGCCATGTCTATGACTGACTCGGCGTTACTACTCAGCGCTGATTGGCTCGGGTAGAATTCTCACGGGGTGGGGTTATTTGAATAGGGGACCCTTTCTCTGTGCAGCATTAAACAGAGGAGTCTGGCAGGCCAGGCTAAAGAACCAGATCCTAGATCTGGAACTAGACGTGGAACCAGAAACTAGGCAAAGAAGCAGGAACTGGACTTAGAGCTAGGAGAAAACCAGCAGTGAGAACCAGCAGTTGGTGGAACAACTTTGTTTATTGGACAATGAATGAAGCCATGTCCCCTCCTTCAGCCAAGGTCCTGCTGAATGCTGTGCCTGAAAAGTGTCCATTATGTCTGGGTATTTGGACTGGCACAACTCCCAGCGGACAGGGTCCTGCTCTTCTGTGGAATCAAAGTAGATGTTCCAAATGGTGGTCATCAGTCCCTTCTTGTTCCTTGTGTTAACTGTCCTCCTCTTCATCTTTGGTTTACAGTAGCCAGGGTGCAAGTTGTCCTGTTTTAGATGTGTTTTTGGTGTGGGGGTGCAGCTCTACATACCAGCCCGGCATACTTTCTACAGTGTATAAGCTTAGGCTGCTTCACACCAAGAAAAAAAAAAAAAAAAAGACAATTTTAGAAAAACACTTAGTTCCAGTGTGTATAGCCTTTGTTTTATTGCACAGTGCAATGAGCAAGTTTTGGTGCAGACTTTAATGCGTCACTAAACCTCGTGCTTACATTTAGTACGTTTATTTGGTTATGATGAGCTTACAAGTTTAAACCATGAAATGTGAAAAAAGTAAAAAAAAATGGAGGACTCGGTCAGAAGCCAAGCACAGGCAATCTGAACCACCTGTAGACGGTTCAGGGAGGTTCTGCTCAGACAAGTGAGAAGAGAGTTGCAGTAGTCTAAGCGTGAGGGGATGAAGGTGTGGATAACAAGTTCAGAGTGGGACAGAATGGGACTCAGCTTAGCAATGTTCCTGAGATGGAAGAAGGAAGAACAAACAAAAGAACTGACATGAGAATTCAGGGTCAGAGCTGGGTCAAAGGTCACACCAAGATTCCTGACAGACAGTTTGGTGTGAGAAGCAAGCTGACCAAGAGAGTGTCTGACTTTAGGAACCAGATTGTCTGGGGAAGAGATGAGGATCTCAGTCTCATTTAGTGATGAACTGCTCCTGTAGACACTAAGGAAGGCTGGGGAGATATTTCATCTGTTACATTACGTTTATCAATTTTTTTTGTTATTTTCTTACACAGTTTTAGTAAAAAATTGTCAGGTAAAAAACATTTTTTTTACTAAAACTGTGTAAAAAAAGAACAAAACATGGAAAACGAAGATAAACACAGAATGCATGTAGAAAATAGTTAGATTAAGGTGTTTAACATAATCCAACACACAGCGAGGAGACAAGTTTTGCTTTCGGTTCTACAAACAGACACTAGGGGGTGTCAAAAGCAAGCCAGAGCTGCCTAGTCGCCCTTTAAGTGCTGTGATTCTTCACTGAATTCTGCACCAAGTTTATTCAGATAAAATCTACTTCCCATTAATAGAGATTGTCCTTATGTATACGTCTATGTGTTTAGCAGCCACTTTGATTCAAAGCGACTTACAAATAACCTATTATTATTATTATTACTATTCTTCTTCTTCTTCTTCTTGTTATTATTATTATTATTATTATTATTATTATTATTATTATTATTATTATTGACCATCATCTGAAAATTATATTTTTCCTGAGAACAGCAGTCTGTTTAACAACTACCAGTAAAAAACAAGAGCAGACATGAGAGCCCCTGCTGCTGTTTGGATTTGGTTTGTAAAACTATTAAATCGTGTGGGAGGAAGAGAGTCAAGCCAAACTTTACCTTCCATTTGTTTTCCTGTGGCAAAAAAAAAGCTAAGTCAGAGATGAGCATCCTAATCCTTTGCCTCGTGGTCATGTGTTACAACCAGTCCTTCCTACACACAACCACAAAGTTTTAGTGACAGCAAAACACTGTTAAAGCAAAACCATTTCTCAGTTGGCTCGTATAAAACCCAGCCTTTACTGGCTCGTAAATGAAAGAAACATGTTAAACCAACAGCAGTGCTTGCTGACGCGCTCCAAGTTACTTCCCCTGCAATGAAAGTCTGTTGGAAAAAGCGCTGAAGGAGTTTGCAGATTGGAGACGTTAAATTCCTCTAAGAAAGGTGGTGGGATTTATAGCAGCAGATCAAAAATGTATGCATGAAACTGTTTATTACCACTCTGTATTTATTAGGCTGGTTTAGAAGATGCCCGAGGCAGAAGGATGGGCAGATATCCATAAATGGGACAGGGAAAGCCGCCTCCAGTGTCACATCCTGTATTGTTCAGTGTTGCATAACTTAAGTGAAATGAGAAAGAAATAAATTACTTGCTTGGCTGGTTGCACATTGATGACTATCATTCCCCGCCTTAAATTGCATCCTGTTTTGACTGACGAGAGGTGGCTGCACGTGAAGTGGTTAGAGCTTGATGCATTGAAATGCTAATTGAGTTATTGTTTTGTTTTGCAGGGAGTGAGTTTTCGGGGAACCCCTACAGTCATCCGCAGTACACAACCTACAACGAAGCCTGGCGATTCAGCAATCCAGCATTACTAAGTGAGTTGAACCAGAGCTAGTACAGTTCCTAACCCTACAGAGAATCACATGACACTGTAGTTACACTGATGTCTCACTGGGCTGAGGTGTTGGGGATACATGACTTTTCAGAATGAATCTCCAGAATGTTCATGAGGGTTTTCTATTTCCTCACTTGAGTCAAAGGCAAGTCATGAAAAGCATTTGGAACTTGAATCAGACAGTGACAAACAAAATGTGGGACTGGATCTGGAGGAGTTATGAAGCTAAGCTGTGATCAACTGGAGACAGAGAGAGAAGCTGGGACACAATTGAATTCAAATAAATTGCTGAACAGTTAAACTGTTAAATGCCAATTTTACTGAAAACATTTTGTAATGATTATTTCTGATTATAATCGGTCACTCTGAGTTCTTCAAGTAGGCTGAACATGAAAACAGTCTCCTACATCTGTCTCCTGCATTAGCTTCTGATAGAAAATAGACGGTGAAAATCTAGGATTAGAAAAGCCTGACATCTATGTCACACTGTCATGTAATATTCATGGACTCACCCATCTTGACTCACAACAGGGAAGGCTGTTCATGGTTTAGCATCATGGAAACAGCAGAGAATGTCACCGCTAGTAGAACCCATAGATATGTATATGAACACTAGATGTCTCGTCCCTGCTGTTCGCCAATGGGATGTGATGTAGGAACGTGGCGGCCATCTTACCTCAGACAGCTGCCCCCTTTCTTGACATTGGGGTGTATGGTGCATGTACTATTTAAATAACTCTAACTTGCTCAATTTTCAACCGATTTTCAAAAGGTTTGATTTGTTATAAACGGCAGAGATCTTTGGAAATGCTTTCTGAAAAATTTAGGAAATAATCAAAAGATAGATTAGGTTAATAAATAAGATGGATGGATAATGGATTGATCTTGTGAATGAGATTTTCAGCATTCATAAAACCAGATAAACAGTGTATAGAAGAAGGTAGCAGCAGCAATGCAACAACAGTTTCAAATTATTTTATTTACATAAAAACAGTTAACAGACTGAATAATGTACAAGTCTAGGTTTTCTTTGCAACAGTTACAGATGAAATGTGATCCCACATTGTCTCAGTTTGTCACAGCGGCGATTCGAGCATCCGTAGGCTGCACAAAGTCAGGCATGTTGACCCTCGAGCTTCACAATTAATAAAGGTGTATTTCTGCAAACATCAATCCAGATATCCCAATATAAGTTTTGTGTAACAAACTAATTCGCTTAAAAATCACGGGCAATTTAGCATTCATTTATCTAAAATAAAACGAGCGACTCCCACTGAGGTAAATAGTCAACTTTGTTTTGCTAAGCAGTGCACCCACCGTAGCCTCATCATCTCTATGCCAAGTTAGACAGCTAATAAATACAAAAACATCCACAAACACAGCCATTTACACAACAATTGGGCTGTCGTAAAATCATTATCGGTTTTGTAGAACCACATAAAATATCGATTGTGGTCTCAACCTGAATAACATGCAAATAACCTAGGCGTAGGGCTGCTAGATTATGGCAAAAATAATAATCACATATTAGCACACCTTTGTTGTTGCATGGCTTCCCGGGGCTGGAGGCTGGAGGGGGATCTGGCCGTCTGGCTGGGTTCTGGATGGTGGGTCGCTTTGCTCGGCATTGGGCGGGGGAGCCTCCTCATCAGCACCCCAGCAGAAAGGGACGAACTCTGGGAACCAGTGATGGTTGTACCCTTTGTGCAGCAGTACCGGGACCAGAGTGAATAGGGTGTGTATGGGGAGCATGAGTGGGTGTCTGGCGTGCATTTTTGTGAGTCTTAGGTTGTATGTGTATGTGTGAGCATGAGGGAGGAGGTGTGTGACTGTGTTTGTGTATGACTGTATATGTCAGGTGGGGCCTTTGACTCCTCCCCTCTCCTGGGACTTCTTTTGATGCTATACATCTTCGCCTCCCCTTCCCCTGCCACATTTGGTGTGGAGTGTGGTGCCTTGATCTGCCTGAGTGTTCGTGGCTCCTGGGTCATGGGGTTTAAGATATTTTGCATCTGCCTGATTAATCCCGGTGGCTGCCTGGTGGGATCTGGGTCCCTGGGCCCTGCTCGGTCCCCGGTGGGGCTGGTCGCCCCTGGGTCCTGGGTCGCTGGGTTCCAGGCTTGGCCAGCTTGGGGGTGGGAGGCTGCGGGCGGGCCTGTGGCCTTGCCGCTGATATCCCCCGGTACTCTGCGGGCTGCTGGTTGTGGGCCCCCGGGCAATCCTCTGCGCCTCTCGAGGGGGGCGGGGGCTTTTCTGGTTGCAGTCTCCCTGGGGTCCCTGCGCTCTGGGGCAGCTCCTGGATCTCTGAGACTTGGAGCTGCTTCCATCTCCTACGCATCTTTGGGGGGCAGATCTGTGGCCCCTTACACTGTCTAATGGAAGCTCCCATAGATAAACCTTACATAAACAAGCGCGTGTACACACACAGGTGCTCACATGGTGCTCTCATAAGTATGGACTTGGGCATGTTCAACTCATGTCTTAAGGCTGTGGTTGGCACTTAATGCACTGTGATTTATTATCGTGATTGTTCAGTAAAGCAATGTTGATTTTATATTTCCTCATCAGGTTTACGCAGTGATAGCTTGCTCCTGTTGTATTGTTGTGTGTCCCTTTTCTTTTTTTTCTCTCTCCTTCTGCAGGTCTAGAAGCAGACTCTTGTTCATCATTGATTGTCTGGTCGGAATTACAAGCATTCAAAAAACAATAACAATAAAGTTTTAAGTATCAGGCGTGACATTAAAGCAGAAGCTTTGATGCCCCACCTGAGAGTAAATCTGTAAGGCTTGTCACCAGCATTCAGACATTAATTTAGTTTGCTTCACAGCCAGACAGGACACGGTAAAATAAAATAAAATAAATAAATATCTCGATTATTGTGACTGAAATTGAGATCTCGATTATTTAAGACCATTTTTCAATTTATGTAGATTTTATTTGTTTTTATTCTGTCATAAAATTGCTCAGGGCACAATCAGGACAAAAATAAATAAGAAACAAGATGATCACTAAAATAACTCCTGATTCCCAGTATAAAAAGACCAATGTACTTATAGCTCATAGTTTATGACCCAAGGGCTATAGACCTTGGTTTAACTGATTTAAGTCTAACCTGTACAGACCCAAATACCAATATCTTACAAATACTGACAGCAAGAATTATACAGTGGCATTTATAACAAATAAATGCAAATAAATTGATGTTCACAAAATGTTGCATAACAATTATTTAGTCGTGTCAAGGTGCTGTAGGAGAGTGCACTAGCACCGTGTCTTCATAGAGATGAGTTATTATTGATCAGTGTCAGGAACTTATTTCTATCTATTTCTACCTTATTTATAAACTATTTATTTACAGGTCCATCAGTTAATGTAATAATTGTCCCAACCACAGCTGCACCCCCCACCCCCCAACCCGGTCCCACAGCAATCAGGGGTAAGCTGCACGTGTGTTTACCGCACTGCACGCACACATTTAGCCATTTTCAGCGGCTCAGGAGCCCGCAGGTACAGTGTGTGTCACTCACTCTGGTTAATCCAACAGGGAGCCGGCTCTGAGAGCCGTTGCTTTAGCGACCGACACATCACTGCATCATTCCCTTTCAATGTCCTGAAGAACGGTAAGGAGCGCCGGCGGAGTGTTTAGCTAACCTTCAGGAAATGTTGACGACAGTTATCCAGAAAGTAGCTAAGGGTTACCAGAGATGTTTCTGAGGTGTTCGCTAGGTACTTTTAAGATTTAAAAAGTCAAGAAGGGGGTTTGAGAAGCTGTTAGAAATAGCGTCAAAGTCGCTAAGTTGGCAACACTGTGGGAGGAGCGCTTCATTTGCAACTCAGGGCAGTGCAAGTGGGAGGAGCAAATAATCGGCTTGTTTTATATTTACAATCGTTCAAAACTCAGATCGTAATTGGGATTAAAATTCGATTAATTGAGCAGCCCGCCTAGGCTAGGCGGGACACATGGTTCACAGTTAAGTCACTTTCAAAACCAAAAGCATTAATTTCAACATGTGCAAGTATGTTGTCTCAAGCCCATGTCTTCTAAGGGTTGTAATAAGGCAAACCGCTTGTAAATCTGTTAATATTTCATTGAGTTAAGGGTGTTTTTGTTTAAGCTGATCACTCACCTTTCAGCTGCTACCATTGAGAGCAGAGGGGTCTGTTGTTTGAGGAAAGATGGCCGCCGTTTAGCTATGCCCTTGACTCCCGCTTTCGCCATCTAGTGTTTATAAACATATCTATGGTAGAACCTAACCATTAGCATTAGCAACTCCACAACACAGCAGAACTCCTCCAGGCTTGGGTTATTTGTGGAGATAAAGCATCAACATTGCAAAGAAAATGGAGTCATAAGTAGAGTAGCATTACTGTTAGCCAATCAGAGATGAGACGTCCAAATGTCAGGAAAGACTCTTAAAGCCATACTATACAATGTTTTCTCTCATTTTCTTGAGCCAGTATGTGCTAAAATGACCCTTTACAAGGTTAAAGAAAGGCCACCCAGACATCTACCACCCTCTGTGGCCAGAAAACCGCACTTGCAAGTTCAGAGTTGCCATTTCGATCCCTGTTGGATTTAATAAAGTGGAGCTGACTTGCCAGCACTGCAGTCTGCTTCCAGCACGTTTCCTGCTAGTTTTAGATCATGAACACAGCTTATTTGTTTAATTTAGTGATGAATCACTGCTGTAGACACTAAGAAAGGCCAGGGAGACACTAAAAGCAAGCCAACACCACAAAGTATCCTCTTTATTCTGCCGCCTTCAGCTCAACTCTGACTTTGCACACTTCCTGAAACAGGCTAACCTGAGACACGCCCCCTCCAAGTACAACTTAGAAGGCAATAATTCCTACTAGAGGCCACTGCAAATGTGTTATTAAAAAATAAATTTTAAAATGAGTAGGGTTGACCTTAAAACACAATTAAAGCCCTTTGCAACTAAATTAGACAAAATATAATATGTTCACATTGGTCATGCAAATGTTAGTTATTCAGAGTTTTGAGGTGCCTAAAAGTTTCAGTTTAGCATGATTCCAACTGAAAACTTGTTCATTTTCCTCATTATTTTGTTGCTAACAGACATGAGTCATCTTGTGCATCCACCAAAATTGTGATTTAGTATTTTAATGCTGAGATTAATTTATTTGATAGCAAATAAAATGAAAACTGTGTTAAAACACTCTCCTTGTTTCTTTTTGGTTTATTTTTGTGAATACTAAATTATTTTTGCGTTTATTCTTATAAATCTTGGATTAGAGTTGTTGGCCTTTTGCTTGTGACTCCTTGATTTAAGCCTCAGAGCTCATCATGTACATCTATAGGACAGCTTTCATAATATTTCACCCTGGATTAAATCACATAGAAACACACCAAAAGTGTGCCTATATTTATAAATATGTTTTGCTTGATGGGTGATTTATTTGTCAACACACTTACTTAAGACATAATCTTGTCACTTTTCTAGTTTGCAGGCAATTATTTTAGTTTTTAATCATTAGGCTTCATTTAAAGTCATCGAACCTAAAGCCAGTGTGTTCAGTGTGCTTCAAATCAAGTAATTGGTTATAGATGAGAATAATCAGCAACTTATTAATGATCGTTTTAGTTCTAAACCTTCCTAAACAGCAAATTCATTTATCAAATAAAATAAAAGGACTATATCTTAGTGAAATTGAGCAATATTTGTTATTTGCACATTTGGACTCTGAGCTGTTGCTATGAGGCTGTGTGCTAGTGGATAAAAATCATAGGCACAGTTATTCCCAGATGTAATTTCCAACACTGTCAGTTAGAAACCTTTATTTTCTCCCTCTGTTTTGTAAAGTTTGGCTAGTTCATTCCCAAAGTAATGACATCTGCTTTTCATGAACTTCCTTTGTGCCAAAAGACAAAAACGGCAAATTATCAACAACTGTAAGAAACGAGTGAAGACTATATGTGTTGTTTCAAATGGTTCATTCTTCTGTTAACTTTCAGGTTCCCCTTATTATTATAGTGCCGCATCGAGAGGCTCCGCCCCTCCCACTGCTGCCACTGCCTATGACCGTCACTAGTTACCATGGAAACCAAATCAACCTGCAGGACCATGGCCTCAGCCTCCACATTGCCCCGGTGTGAGCAGCACGGTCCACTGGACACTGAGCAGCAGCAGCAGCAGCAGAAAATGTTCCCGACTCACTCACGCAAAAAAAAAAAAACACAGAAGAAACTTTTTCTGATCCAAGATGACTGCTGTTCATTCTGATTGCAGCTTTTTCTTCTTCTTCTTTTTTTTTTTTTGGACACTCAAAGCAAAAAAAAAAAAACACACACACACAACTAAATCTGAAACAATAACGGATGCTGAAGAATTTTTCTCATGATGAAACTTGTGACTAATTGCAGCAGGCTTAGAGGATAAAAAGATGAAATCAGAATTTATTTTCCCCTCCTGCGGCGTCACGCTTTAATCCGGCGGTGGATCAATACTGTACATTCCTCTTCTGGATGGGTCTCAGAGCTGTCCAGAGCTTGTGATGTATCCGCACTCGTTATTTTCTTGTTGATGTTTTTTTTTTCTTTTCCCATCTGTCTTGAATCGAAATGCAGAAATGGGAGATCAGCTGTTGGTTTTTTTTTTTTTTTTTTTTACCAAACCTTCAGCATGAGTACATTGATCACTTCTGATGCCATGAGAAGATTAGGACACGCTCTCTGTGAAATACAATCAACATGTAAAAAATGAAAATAAAACAAACCATCCATTTGAAAACAAAAGGAGCCACATTATTATAGCGTCATAGCTCCATCTTTGCAAGGTTTCAAATATCAATATTCTTAAGATAATTTCTTTCTTTTCTTTTTATAATCAGTGATGACTAAATTAAATGGCAGACTGCTTGGCTAGTGTTTGTTTGCCAGGAATCTGAAGTTAATCAGGCAAAACCTTAGCCTAGTGAACAAGACCAAATTCTTGCTTTGCAAAGTTTGGTCTAGGCATGCTCCATTGGAACCTCCGCAGCCCCAACATCATTCTGCCTGGCCAATCACAGCTCTCTATAGAGAGCTCTATAGAGCTCCTATATAGAGGAGTTTCAAACACATAAAGAGCTGTGATTGGTCCATAATGGTGGGCCAATCATAGTGCTCTATCTGCTTAGTGAACAAATCACAGAGCTTTATCCGCTTTGTGGGCCAATCAGGGCACTCTATATGCCTGGTGGGTGGGATGATGCAACAGAGTGAAACAAGAGTATGTCACATTCATTGTCCAGTGAAATGCGGAGATCATTTGAAAGACAACGGTAGAACCCGCCCCACAACCGAGAGCCGTCAATGGAGCGTTGCCAGACTAAATAATACATTTATTTAGTCTGGCTTGCCAGGCTAGCAAAACCTTTCAGTGGGTTTTTTTGTGTGTTATTTTTGCACTATTTTGAAGGTTTGCAACACTGGACTGTTAATATGCAGAAAAATGTGCATTTTTGTTTAATCTCACATGTAATCCGACTGTAATCTAACATCTCAATCTGAAAAGGCACTTCCAGTTCCTGTAATCTAAGGCCCATCATGTCACTGATTTGACGTGCACTATGCTACTTTGTGTTCTCACAGCCTCTTTATTTAGTTTCTTAAGTCTTTGGCATTCAAACACACATTAACACGAAAGGATTTAATAGCCATTCCTAGTCTAAACACTACCACGATTCGTCTGATTTGTTAACAAAAGTGTTTGTATTCACTCTGATAGGAGGATTCTGACAACATGGTTTCAGCTAAATGCCTTAAACATGTTCCCTCTCACCGTTAGCTCCCTCACACGTTTCAGGCCACGTCACTTCTGAGGAGGAAAGCTGGAATTATTATGTTTCTTCATCTGTCAAGTGAATGTATGTGCATTTGCCAAAGACTTAGTTCTTGTTTGTGTTTATTTACAGGCTGCCAATATGCATCATGAGCAGTGTTGTTGTAATTATTATTATTATTATTATTATTATTATTATTATTATTATTATTATTATTATTATTATTATTATTTGATAAAGCCCAAAATGTTGATGAAGTAAATGTATAAATTCTATGCAGTGCAGAGATGGTCATATGCATATTCAGCTGTAAACCTAAAGGTAGGTGGAGTTTATTTAATGTTATTTACACTTTTTGTAGAAACATTTTTGTTTGTTTGTTTGTTTGTTTGTTTATGTGTGATGTGAAGACACTTCTCTGTAAATACAGCAAAGAAAAAATAGTCTTTCATGTTCATGGGTATTATCACTTTCATTATGCTGGTATCACTTGTACAATAATAAAAGTGTCTGAAATCTTTTATGCAAAACGTCTGCATGTTGTGTCTGACTGAAGCAGCTGACAACATTTCCAATAGACTCTCTACTTGTATTTTGCTCGTAGTAAAAAAGTCATTCCGGAGTTTTGTTATTACATCTAAACTTTTAGTGTCAGCGACCATTTTCTCTTTTTATGAGGATTTAATTAGAAATACAATTAAATATACTCTACAAGACACAATGATGGCAAAAAAAACAAAATATTACAAATGATTACACAAAAGCATTAAAAATGGACAATACAAAAGTACCTGTAATTTGTTTCTCTCTGAGTTGTAATTTTTATGAATTGTAAGTGTTTACTGAAGTTATTTAGAAACAAACTATGATGATTGTATTACATTTTATCATCAGTTGCTTTGTTGTATTAAATATTTTAGTCCATATAATTTATTAAAGCATGATCTTATGCTAACTGGAAAAACAAAAAATGGGGGAAATTACAAGGCTGGAATAAAATTTGACTTTATTGGTATCAGAATCATAAATTAATTTTAAAATGTAAAAAAGCAAAAATAAAACTCATGTTTCATCCCACAGTGAAAATTAAATAATTGAAACATATATGTTTTAAATAACATGTGTTAAGCAGCAACTACCATAACTAATGTTAAAGCAATCATGAAACAGTAACTTTATAAACACCAAAGTGGAATTAACTGTTAGAAGGGTTAAAAAAATATTTCAGTATTGAATCAGATCTAAAATAACTACAAAGGAAGTGAGCTAGGACTAAACGTTCACCTTTGTTTGCCCTCCATGTCATTAGAGTCAAACCTTTAACCTAAATATGAAGCTATTTGTTTAATATGTACTTGAAAAATATAAAATAAAATAAAGTAAAAAATAAATCACACAGTGATACATTTTCTCTACCCACTCATCTACACAGGGTTGCGGGGGGCTGGTGCCTATCTCCAGTTGTCTTCGGGCAAGCAGGCAAGGTACACCCTGGACAGGTGGCCAGTCCATCGCAGGGTTATGCAGAGACACACAGGACAACCAAGCACAGACACAATTTTAGACAGACCAATCAACCTGACAGTCGGTTGCTGGAAGATATATATATATATATATATATGTGTGTGTGTGTGTGTGTGTGTGTGTGTGTGTGTGTGTGTGTGTGTGTGTGTGTGTGTGTGAAAGACATTAAAAAATTTCAAGTTAAAATAAATCAACTTTTGGCGGGGACAACAACCTCTTCTGTAGAAACAAACCCACACTATGTTCTAAATCCATTACCTGTTTTAAGATGTTTCCTTTTCAGCTAAGAGACCACGCAGCAGAAAGAAGCTACAGTGAGAATGCCTCTGAATGTTTTCTCCATGATTTGGATCACTGAGCAGCACAGAAAGTGTTTAACCTTTCCTCACTTTGTAAAGCTGAATTAATTTTTCTAGCTGCATGCTTGAATTCAATTTGTGCTAAGTTGCATGGAGAGATTTCTGCATAAAATCCCTCTCAGAGCTTCTTTTCACTCTTTCTTAGCTCAGTAATCCCTCTGCCACCGGCGCCGTGTACGACTTAGTTAAATGATTATTGATTTATAGCAACTGGACACTGCTCTGATTAGAATGCTGTGATTTGCAAAGGCTTTGGACGGTGTGAGTGCACAATAAGGCAGCATGTACATTTGATTTAATGTCAGCTATAAAGTGGAACTGCAGCTCAAACTGGTTTTGTTTTTTCCAACTTGTTTAAAGGCCAGAAAAGAGTTTATTTACTTCTCGAAACAAACCTTGATGTGTCTGTGGTGTCAGTTTCCTTCCTTTTGCATGTTTCATCGCTCCCCCATGAAGCATCAGAGCTGATGTTCTGTCAGCCTGGAGCTGTCGTTTGTCACTCACAGGCCTGGTTTAAGAGGAGAATTCCCAGAAGTGAAATTATTCTAGGTGGAAACTTTTTTTTTTGTCACTTTCTCGTCCAAATTGGCATTTCTGGCTCTCTCTTCTGAAACCAATAAACTGGGAAACTGAATGTTTCTGTCAATCAAGCTCAAAGTGAATGCAGCCCACCAGATGACAACAGCATCAGCTGCTTGGTAAATATATAAATATAAATATTTCTACGGCTCTTTTTCATCAAACATGCACGATTTTATCTTCAAAAACAGTAAATCAAAAGTGCAATTCAGCTGAAATGAAATAGGGATATTTATGTGTATCTAAAAAATTAGGCCAATAATTAACTTAAAGTCCAAACGTTGAAAATGTTGATTTATTACATATTTTTGACAAGGATGTTCAATTTATTCCAAAGACAAACATGAATTTGGTTTTCTGTAAGTGTTTCTTTTCTTCTGTCAGCGTAGGGGCTCGCTGTCTAAAAGAGATTAATGTTTTTGTTTCCATCTGATGCAGGGCAATCACATTTACCCGTGGACCTTAAACTTTGTATTACTATAGAAAAAACATAAAATCATGACTAAAAGTTAAAATTACACAAGTAATGTTATTATTTTTATTTTCTAACATGTCTTATAATAAAATAAAAACAGTTTGAAGTATTTGTTCCTAATGAAAATCTGATTATGATTAAAATCCCAAAATTTTCAAGGGGAATTGGTGCGTTTATAGAGGAAGTATGGTAAATGGTCTGTATTTGATATAGCACCGTCTAGAGTCCTAGAACCCCCCCCCCCCCCCCCCCCCCCAAGGCGCTTTACAATGCAATAAGTCATTCACCCATTCACACACAGTTACTCCCTTGTGAGCTGTAGCCACAGCTGCCCTGGGGGGCGCACCGACAGAGACGAGGGTGCCAAACACAGGAGCCACCAGTCCCTCTGACCATCACCAGCAGGCAAGGTGGGTTCAGTGTCTTGCCCAAGGACACAACAGCAGCATTCTCTGCCAGGAGCTGGGATCGATCCTACAACCCTCCCATCACTGGACACCCCACTCTACCTCCTGAGCTACTGCTGCCCCAAATTAACATTTCAGTTATGTTTCTAATGCAAAAATAGTTGAAATCACCTGGACGACCTTTCTAAAAAATTTCGTATAAAATGTATTTCTGAATTAATGAATTTGAATGAAAAAAAGCAGGAAACAATAATAAGTTCTCTGTTTTTGAGTTAAAATACAGGTTTGACTCCAAAACAGACTGCTGACCTTTGGAGCCGCTCCACACCCATTCATGTCTCTTCCTGTGTTATCTGTGAATGTGTGGCTACAATTCAAACATAATGTGGTTACTGGCATGTCAAATGTACAATAAATCCTCAGGATGTTATAATTTGTGGGGACACTTGATAAAGGATGGCGAGAACAGGGGCAGGGAGGGAGAAAGAACGAAAATGTTTTCCACGTCTTCCTCTCATCAGCGTGTCATCCCAGTGCTGGTTTGTGGATAGGGGGAATGGATCTGCTGCTTTATGTGCTGTATCTAATTGGATATGGCAATATATAATACGATTCTCCAGTATCCATCAATTCCTGTGTTAGACCTGTTTGCGTGGCTGTGTCAGAGGGGCAGCCCGGCTTGTTATGATGCTTGAGCGGCAATTATGAGGTCATTTTTGACTCTGGCTGTGCGAGGCCATCCAGAGGATACTCGAAGGGAGGTTCTAAATGAGTGAGCATTGATTGATTGGATGTAATAAGTGCCCTGCTTGACAGACAGTGAATGTGAGAAAGAGCAGGGGAGTTTGGGTGGGTTTGGGGGATGCTGGACGACAGTAAACTTCTAAAAGGAGCCAATCAGCGACTATTAGATCTGTATAGGTGAGCGCCACACCTCTGCCAAACCCAGCCCGGTGCCAAACCTCATTTACACTCCACCAGTAAATAATTACCCTAATGGCTATTGTGTGATACATGATGCAATTAAAGCCTGATACAATGCACCTTGCTTAGTGATCCTGTCAGGTTTCACATACTGTAACAGGCACCGGTGGTCCTGGGCTAATGGTTCTCACTACCTGACTGTTCAGTAATGGGGATATCCTCCAAAGCAGACAGAAGAGTGCCCTAATCAGCTGGATCTGTCAGGCGCGGGGTGTTTATTTGCAACCAGGGGGAAGCGGGGGCTGCAGCTGGGAAATATTCAGAGAGAAGGGGAGGGAGGGAAAGCTGAATTTGAAACAGGCTATTCCTGTTAGCGGGGAGTGTAATGGAAGCAGGTTTGAGAAGAGGGCAGTATCATCAACCCAACCTCATCCACTGTAACCCCGGATTCTCCTGTAGCCCCCCACCCTCCCAAACCCCTTCTCTAGCACCAACACACTCCCAGCACCCCAGTCACTGTCAGGCCAAACACATGATGAATTGCCCTGTCAACAGAATTCATTCAGGGACCAATTAATTCAGCAGAAATGAACTAGAGCCATCAGTCGCTGAAAAACTCCGAGCAAAGAGAGCAAAGTAGCTCTCCTCTGGAAGAAGTGAGACGGTGTGTGTGTGTGTGTGTGTGTGTGTGTGTGTGTGTGTGTGTGTGTGTGTGTGTGTGTGTGTGTGTGAGACGGAGAGTCAGAAAGACAGAGAGAGAGGGAGAGAAGGTGGAGGAAGGAGATAGGGGGAGAATGAGGGAGAGGGTGCCAGGGGAGAGCAGTGGAAGTTAGCCTGACAGGAATTGGTCATTTAATGCTTTAGCGCACTGGAGGCAGCCCCTGTCATAGAGGAAGCCATGACAGGACTCCCCTGGTACTTTATTTATTAATTATCCTGAGCAGCAAGGGGCATTTAACTGTCTCACTCCAGGCCTGTCAACTTGACTTCTTGTCATTTTCGTTTTTTTTTTTTTTCTTCCTGCAAACAGTTCCTTTAGAAATAATCCAAGCAGGAGGAAATGTAATTATTCACAGAACAGATAAATATTTTTGTCGCAGCAGCTGTTCGACTCAAATAAACATTCAATTACACAGGGAGTTGTTCAGGAGTGCGATCCCGCATTGACAAGTCAAACATTTGATTGTGTCTGAGGAAACAATCTTCAGCCACTATGTTCCACTCTTACACTTCTCAACATAAGCACACACATCTTTTTTCTG